GAAAAACATAAACTTCTAGAAAACGTCCATGAAGTAACAGCACAGATTTTCAAGCTTGTTTAACATGTGTAAGGACATCCAAATGTGTAAAGCTACTGGAAACCAAAAAAACAAGCAGCCTATCCGTTGAGATAGCTCCGCTGTTAGCAATGCACATTTCAATTAAAGAACTGAAGACATCATTAGAAAATGAACAATATGAATAGTATCAAAGCAATCGGACTTACAGTTTTTAACAAGAAGTCGAAAATATCACTTTTTACCAAAAATTACAAAAATATTCACCAAAATAAATTAATTAGAGAATTAAAGATATCATCACAAAATGAACAAATCTGAGAAAGGTCTACATGTAGTATCTATATATGTAATATCAAAGCAATTGAACTATTGATTTTTAACAAGAAGTCGAAAATATCACTTTTTATCAAAAATGACAAAAATATTCACCAAAATTAGAGAATTGAAGATATCATCACGAAATGAACAAATCTGAGAGAGGTCCACATGTAGTACCTATATATGTAGTATCAAAGCAATTGGACTTGCGGTTTTTAACAAGAAGTCGAAAATATCACTTTTTACCAAAAATGACAAAAATATTCACCAAAATTAGAGAATTAAAGATATCATTACAAAATGAACAAATCTGAGAGAGGTCCACATGTAGTACCTATATATGTAATATCAAAGCATTTGCACTTGCGGTTTTTAACAAGTCGAAAATATCACTTTTTACCAAAAATGACAAAAATATTCACCAAAATTAGAGAATTGAAGATATCAACATGAAATGAACAAACCTAAGAGAGGTCTACCCAAGGTACATATACACCAAGTATCAAAGCATTCAGGTTTGTAGTTTTCAAGAAGAAGTCGAAAAAGTAAAACATTGACACGGACGACGACGACGACGAACAATCACTCATATGATAAGCTACGCTCGACAAAGTCGACAGCGGAGCTAAAAACTAGATAGCTGCCAGTCGGCCATTTTGAATCGAATCGCTAAACCACTGCATGTGCATATGTCCCACATAAAGTACTAGGCATATGCAAAGAATGAACGGAATCAGTCCAAGGGATTCTGAGATATGACTCTGGACGGACACACGGATGCACGGACAGACGGAGATCGAATTATAAGTCCTCGTTCCGAAAAATCATTTATATCTCAGTGTCAGACACTGGACCAAACATAATCAAGACATTACTTGTAAAGCATTTTTGCCAGCCATGGTTCATTTATTTGGCTGTTGCCTCATCTTGGAAGAATTCCCACCTGAATTTAAACATGTATTTAAATTCAATTTAAACACCTTATTCACAAAATCAGTGCATACTTTGTTGCGTTACCACGGTAAATGGAACACAAAGTCATGGGAAATCAAACGTGATGTACATTTGTAATATACAAGACAAAAAAATTAGTTTTAATTCAATGCAAGTCTTTGTTACAGAAAGGTTGATGGATCCAGGTTCTTGGCACAGCCAATCAAAATGTTCTATTCAACTAAAGTTATATATAGCTTTTCCTAATACGATCAATATGGGTTAATTGGTAGGAATGACCATTGATGCTAGCCTTCACCAAAACTGTGCAAATCAGATTAAGCTTGTATGAAAGAAACAAGTCAATTACCTCTATTCTACAAACCCTATACTCACCAACACTGCCTTTAAATAGTAGTTCGAATAAAGCATAATTCGTGCAAGGTTCAATCCCGAGTTTCGTATTATTCAACAATTGCTTTATGCACATATCAGATGTAGTAGTTCCATTAACCTATAATGACATAACAATCCTATAATATACTCTGAAAGAATCAGTAAGGAGTATACTGAAACATGACATGAATATGCAATCAGTTTCAAGATTAAGATTCTTAGGAAAAGATCAGTTTCAAGATTAAGATTCTTAGGAAAAGATCAGTTTCAAGATTAAGATTCTTAGGAAAAGACAATACTGTAAACTTCTAGCTCCAATGGAGTACCAACTAAATGTAATTATTTCAGATACTTCAAAGCTGAAGTTGATTTGCATAGAAAGCAGAAGTTGCAACAGAATAGTTACCACTAGAGGGCGTTTTTTTTTTAACATAATCAGTCATCACACTATGAATATAAGACAGGTAATATTTATCTATATAACTCTTTTTGGCAAGAATCAGCTAACATCGATAACATCAAATCAATCAATAGCTTCAAATAAAATTAACAATTATTAATATTCTTTTCCATTTTCGATGATACGGCAAGGTAAAAATCATGTCTTTTTTTTTTCAATCCAAATGTTCAAGACATATCTTAGATACAGTAATGTATACAATGTTTGTATAGTTCTTATTTTTGTATTAAGAATAAGTAAGTCTTGCACACAAGTAATTTTTCTCCTATCAGTACATTACACTCTGATGCAGGTTAAGGCTGCAATGTTTTGAATCATGAACACCTTTTTACAATTAATTCTGACTAAATGAGTATTTATTATTGTTTGATATGCAGCCATTCAAAATTCATGCTACTGGCAGCTTTTTATAGACTGGCAGACTTGATTGCAAAATTCAATCAGAGAAAAGATTCAAGAGAGCTTTACTCCTTTTAGCTGTCCTGTGTACATTCGTTTTAACTTAATCTGACCTAATATTTAATATTGAGGTACATAGAATGTAACTGTGTAAACTGAGCTTCACCACAAAAGCAACCATGATTGACTATATTAAACAAACAAATTATATAATGAACCAATTCAATTTTTTGTGTCAGTTTAAAAATAATAGGTGATTTTCTGTTCAATGCGAGATCTTGCATAATGTGTGAAGGGTGCAGATCAAAAAATCAGATGCAAAAATCAAATGACTTGAATTTGAACTTGAATTCTCTTTATAGTTCAATGTTGTAATATGGAGGGGAGTATGGTGTTGAGTAAGTCTTACCTCAGCAAAATTGTATAGCACATTATTAAGTACAGAAATCACTAAAATTACATTTGCATTTGTCAATTTAATGTGATGTTTTGATGACACTATGACTTTGTTCTATTTCTACAATTAATTTCAGACATAAAGGATTTTGCAATGAATGTACAATGGTCTATTTAGAATATATATATATATAGGTAGTTTACCTTCACATTCACTGAAGTTCCATCAAACTCATAAAGATTTACACTGAACATCATATCTGGAATTTGCTATTAAAAATAAAATAATATATTATTCATAAAGCAATACAGATAGTGAGCAGATACAGCAGTAGAATTACAATAGAGCTAAAAACCCACCTGCCGATTCATATGCAATTCTTCCATCTTCTTCCTGGCTTCTTCAATTGCAAGTTTCTTCTTCTTTTCTTCATCACTAATTCCAAATAACCAGTCATAGTACCTAATGATGTCACCAATGACAACTATCTCATGGTTTGTATCTTTAAAAGTGTCACCCTGTAAGTCAGAAATTTTGTCAATTTGCATAATAACATACAAACAACAATGAAAAGATACTATAACACTGAATTATATTCATGGCATATAAGCGTTAGTCCACAAGCGAGCTTTCAATAAGACTTATGGGTATTGCTAGTGTGACTTTGCATGGAAAAATACCCAGAATTCTTCACAACAATAGTTTGGCTGAATGCAACACTATCTTCACTATCTTGATACGTCCCAATTATTCCAAAAAAGCATCAACCAGCCTAAACATCTTCTATTTAGTAAACTTCATGAAAGGTATGTACAACCTCTAGTTTGAATGAAATTTAGGCGAGGGTTCTCCAAACCCGCCTATTCACATAGTTCATACCCACCATAGACTCCGGTCAGTCAAAATGACTATTTTGAACTGTAGGCATTAATCAGCGATTCTGCTGGTGATGGAGAGATAGAATCTAGGTCCGGGGAAGCCCCATGACCCCAAGATTCTCTTTCCC